CTTCAATTGGAATTTTTTTTTTAAGTAAATTCTTACTGTTTGTTCACTGACAATCAGTTGTATGACATGCATGATACACACTTAGGTGATCATGTATCTCCCGATACATGACTGATGAGGCAGATTTTTTCCTGCAGTAGGTTGCCATTTCTTTCTACAGTAGACCAGTTGCTATCCAAGGCTATAGAATCCAGTCTATTCTGCTATTTACCTATAGCTGGGGAGAGAAGAGGAGGATTCATACCTTTCCTAAGGGTATTAGCACATAAGTGAATGTAATGGATTTGACTGGAATTCAAACTCTGCTCTACAGTACTAAATATAGAATTTATTTTCTTTTGTAGCTTCAACTTGTTAAAATATATTTTTTTTTAAAAGTCATTGTTTAAACTCTTCTTTTTTTGTCTAAAATTATAAAATTAAATAAATTTTCTCTTTTATAAGCAACAAATCTTATTTTCAAAAAAAAAAATTATCTAAAGTGCAGTAGGTTATACACCCATGGGCGAATGGTCTGAAATCAAAGAGGTCCATGGCATCATGCAGTATTGCAGTCTTGTTTGTTCGAGCCATTGTACTAAGCCCAAGGAGTTAATTATTTTCTGTTGCAGCTCAAGGTGGGGGGGGTATAATTTCTTTCTTTGAGACAACACGTGAAATGGATTTGTTTTTGAAGTTATCTTCTTTTGCCTAAAGAGGCAGCAGGTGGTTGGATTTCTCAAGGCTGGTTTGAATTCAATTGTTCTTTTAGATACTCTAGCCTGTCAACTAAGCCTATAGGGCCAAATCTGTCCTGCTATTTACCTATAACTGGGAGGAAGAAATGGATTCATACCCTTTTTCAAGGGTATTAGCACATAAGTGAATGCAATGAACTCAACTGGAATTCAAACTCTGCTTTCCAATTCCTCAATCTGAGTTACTATCCATTACTCCACTGTGTCTCCACCCATAAAAAAATAAGATGCCAGTTAAATATGCCAAAATAAAACCTGTAATTTCATGAGCAATTTGATATTTTAATATTCATTACTTTTTATAAAGAATAATTTTTTCATATAACAATGAATTAAAGGTCTAATTTTGAACTACTTTCTTTAAATCTTAAATATTCTGAGATGTTTGGCTAAATAATTTTTTATTTTAATGTCTGATTTTTACACCGCCCCTCCCCAACCACAAAAAAAAAAAACAAGCCGGTTATGTAAACTGTCTTTAGAAAATAATTGTCTATCAAGTTTTAGCAATGAAACCTGTAGGCATATCATACAATGTTTTCACCAAATTTTCTTTCTGTTCATTTGTTGATGTTTTACTGGGAATAAATTGACCATGAATGGCATAAATTTGGAAGAGAAAAATATTGCAATGAATATAAACTGTAGATAGGCAGTACTTTCTTTGTCATAGTTAATCGGAAAAGTTTAATCTGAATTACTTAGACTTGGTTTTGTTACTGTATTGCATTGTTTCATTTGAAACAGTTTCTAAATCCCCCCCCTCTTTTTTTTTTTTTTTTTTTTTTTTTTTTTTTTGGTCGTATTTCAGAGTTGTGCAGTATGGCCTTCTTTAGGTATCTGTTGTATTCAGTTTACCTGAGGGGTCCTGAAGGATACTCCACCCAAAATGTAATAAAAAGAAATGGTCTTCAATTAATCATAATCAAAAAAATATTTAGAATTTAGTTTTTACATTATATTGTATAATCACTATAGGAAATAATATATCTGACTTTCTTTGTTACATCTTGTCCAATAATGGAAATAAATTTTAGTCATAAATTATTTTAGCATAAAAAGTAAGAAATAGGCTTTTTTTTTCTTTTTCTTTCCTCTCTTAATAGAATGCAGCACTCCAATTCTTTAAAAGCTGATTTCAACACAAATACTGCTTAAAAATAAATGTTTAATGACAAGTTTGATGTTTTATATGTAAAACAGTATTGGTAATATTAATAATTTATTTATGTATTGCATTGTTCGCAATAAAAATGTGTTGGGTTCAAACCAGTTATTGATACTTTGTGCCCTGTCAATCATATCAAAATTGTTTTACAGGTCTCTTTACAATCAAGCAAGCTCATTGTCAGTTAGCTTAAATTTGTAGAAAAATTATAGTTAACTAAAGTGACTTGGGGAAATTTTTATTTAATGACCTTTTTTATTGTTCATAGTGGAAATGTTATATTTTCTTTATAACTTTTGCCATCCTACCATCTCATGCCTGCAGTCAGTATCTTTTTTGGAATTCTTTAGTTTCTACTTGAAACAGTACTGTTTTTTTCTACTTAGAATTTTTCAGTAAAACTAAAGAAGAAAAAAAATGCAAATTAAGAGAGTAGGATGTTATTTCCAAACAGCCTTGATTATTTCAAACATAGACTTATTGTAAAATCCTGCATACTGTTGCTTCACACTAAAATTGGTCCCTATGAAGGAATGTTAGTTGTTGTATGGCTTTTGTTTTGCAGCCATCTGTTATAGCTGAGATTGTTCAAAGTCCTGTGAAAAGAGGAAGGAGTAATAATGCAAGTTGGAACAATCTAATGTGGAGATGGGCAGATGTTGCAGATATTGCTAAATCTTTGAGAACAGTAAATGCAACTTTTTGTAAGGATTTGGTTGATGATTATACAGCAATTTATCAGATTTATGGGCAAATTGTGGTGGCAGTAATTAAATGTCAGCTTTGGAAAGAGGAATAAAAATGTTCTAAGTACTTCCTGTCTCACAAGGATAACGATAGAATTATCAGTACACAAATGGCTAAATTGTGTATTTCTTCTCTTTACAAATTCCTTTATTGGTCCACATGGCTGAAATAAAATCACTTTTATCACCATCAGATTTCAATAATAATAATAATGCATAACAATGTAATTCTTCAACTATTCACTGAGGTCTTTGCTTATGTATTATTAATACTTTTGCTTATGTATTATTTCTTAATTATTCTCACCTTCATCCTACTTAAATTTTGTTTGCTATCCAATGTTGAAATTATTCTCAAAATGCTACATCAAAAATAAAATTTTAAATCTGTAAAGATTTTAAGTTTGACAAAATTTTCATTTGTAAACTATAAATGAATATTGAACTAATTTTATATTGTTTTATATATTGCTTAATATTAACCATGATGTCTTAAAATTTTAGTGGAAAATGCTGGATGCTTTTTATTAAGATAAACCTTTTTTTATTCCTTCAAGTATAAGCTTTTAAAATGTCTATTGTATAATATTTATTTCATGTTATAATTTGACAATTCACAAACTGAAAAAAATTTTTTTACTGTTATACAAATAAAAAAATTAAGGAAATACTTTTGGCATCTATCATTGGAAGAAAAAGATTCTAACTATCATTAACAGTCTCTTTGTTATCTTACTGGTATTTCCACTATATTGAAACCAGTAGAGAGATCCAGATCTTTCAAGTAGAGGTGTATACTTTATCTGACTTTAATAAACAATGAACCAATTTAAATTTTTCATCTATCTTCTATTCAATATTTATTTTAAAAGTGAATATAACACAATGATCTATCAGATTTTAAATTTTGAAAATTTCAACCTTGTAATCTTGGGTAGCCTTGACTAAAATATTTTATATTATTATAAAAGCAATTTGAATATCAATCTAATCTGCTACTGGGAGCATAAAAATTTTCTTATTTAGAAAATATTGATTTTGATTCAGTTTACATCTTGGCAATTGTCTCAGCCTCATTAAAGTCTTAGGCAAATATATTATTAGCCATGTGTCCATCTACAATAGAAGCATTTGCAGATAACAGTAAGTATGAATAATGCTAGCTATATTGACTGTTCTCCAATTAAACCCCTACAGCAATATAGATGTGCTAAAGCTAATCCTCAAATATGGATTTGTGAGAAAAAATTAAAAATAAAAATAACCAGTCCATGGCTTACTTGCTACTTACTGAATACTGCTTCCTCTCCTCTCTTCTCTTTCTTTCTCACATTGTGGCCTTTAACACTTTTTTCCACTTAAATAATGTGCAAGACTATAAATGTATTGTACTTTAGAATTATAATCTATCAGTGATTATAAACTGGAAGATATCACCTTTATATTATTTTGTTAGTTTTCAACTCTTACAGACACATCATTTTATGCACAAATTTCTTTTGAAATATTCATTCCTGTTGACAATTTTAATGTATTAAAAATGCTACTTCTCAAGTGATCTATCAGTGTTTATAGTCTTTTATTCCTTTTTATAGTTATGGAGGAAAGAAGACAGTTATTTAACTGACCTACAGCTTTTTTAAGGGTCATATAAGCATAGCTTTGTTTGTAAAATCTTTTTGTAATCCATTTATACTTCAGTTTTATCATTGCACTAAAGACCATAGACTCTTTGTCCTGGGCATGATGATAAACTTCATCCAGCAGCAAGGCCTGTGATTGGAAGATTTTCAGGAGCATGGAACCACCTCTTAATTACTATTGTTCCTAGGTCTACTCTAAACTAACACCTATTAGGGTCCCAGCTATGGGCAAATAGTGAGCTCCCAGTCAGGTTCAAAACATGTTTTGAACCTGACTGGGAGCTCACTATTTGAATTTTTTTTTTTTCAAAAATGTATTGCTGGTATTCTTACATTTTTTAGTAAGAATACCAGCAATACATTTTTGAAAAAAAAAAAAAAAAAATTACTAAAGCTCCCCAAAATTAAATTAAATTTTCTTAAGTGACACATACAAAATTGATATGCTGTTAATCAAACCAACCATAGACTTATTATTTATGATTACTACTGCAATATGTAAGATAACCTAATTCTATTCCCATTTTAGCATATCTATGAAAATAACTGGTTTGCCTATATTTATTTTTGCTATACAAATGTTATAGCAGAAACTGCTATATTTTCATGATTATTTTATCTTTTTTAATTGACTGGATTTCATTTTGAAAAGCATCAGATGTAAATTTTTTGATGAAAACTTTGTAATTTTCTTTTTCTTTTCCAGGGCAACCATCTTGAGTGAAGTCCAATCCAGTTCTGCCTCTAAGCTATCTAATGTCAAATCCATACTTGTTATTGGTTAGTAATTATATTTTATTTTTATTGATAGCAAAAGGTGCTGAGAAGTTTATGACCTGACCTACTTCCCAGAATATGATTAAATGACCAAACAATTTTTTTTTAATCTCTTTTTGCTCAGATTGAGAATTTTTCAGCACTTCCATGTTAGTATTTTGATTCTTAATTTTGGCTATTAATTTCAATTTTAATTCTGTTATACTACTTTCTGTTATATTAAATTTTTTTTTTTTTTTAAATAATTTCATCCCAAGTAATGTAGAAAGTGATGCAAGAGGTTACCAAATATGAAAGAATATGAGAAAAAGAAAAACTAAAGAAAGAAAAGAAAAAAAAATAAAAGAATAAAAATTAACAAGACAGAAGGTAACAATTGACATTGCATTTAAACTTTTGAAAATCTAATTTGACTGGAAAACAAGACAAAAAGAAAATTCTACAAACAAGAAGTGTGAGAGAAGAAACTGTTAGCATAGAACTTCTAATCATTTCAACTATAAAATGATGAGACGTAACTGCCAATCTAGTACTGTACTTAAATTCATAAAGTCTAGGTACCATATCAGAGAGCTCATCTGAACAAATACCATGGAAGTATTTATAAAGTTGGCATACCAAAGAAAGCTCATCAGGACACTGTAAGTAGATAGGTTCACTTCTTGGCCAGACCATTTGCCTTCCATGTTTATTGAACAAAAGTGCAGATTTCCTCTTTAGGATATGGCTTACTGGTTCCTTTGTTTACTTGTTTATAGACTATAATAATCTGAATATACTTATTGTATAATGAGCTTTGAAAATTTATTTTGTTTTCTATGTATTGTTATTAAAAGCATTTTTTGTGACATTTGCTGCTAGTTGCATTTTTAGCTGGAGAATATTGTCTAGATTTATAATCTTCTTTTCCATAAAAGTAACACCTTATTCTGTTACTGGTTATAAGATTTCTCAAATATTCAAGGCAGTAGATGAAAATAAAATATTATTTAAAAAAAAAAAAAATAAACAAAGCATTTACTCAAATATGGGTCTCCACTACAAATGTTTAAATGGATGAACACACCATGAAGAATAATTTCAGTAGACTAAATATTTCTTTTCTAAATTTAGTTGTTGAACTTTGATTGCATGAATCTGTACCTGACGTTTTTTTATTCTTATTCAAGATTTTGGAATGTTCTTTAAGAATAAAATAAGTTTGTTAAATGCCAAAATTTTTTTTTTTTTTTCAAATAGATATTTAGTTCATATTCCACTGATTTTAGTGATTAATTCTTTCTTGAAAGATTAATTTCTTTCATAGAATAAACTTTAGTAGGTATTGTTCTGTGTACACATTCTCACTTAATTATCTGATCATTACAGGTGACACTGAATCTGGAAAAACCACCCTGATTGCTAAGTTACAAGGTAATGAGGATCCCAGAAAAGGGTCAGGCTTAGAGTACTATAATATTGATGTCAAAGATGAGTACAGAGATGGTGAGTGTTGTTTTTTGTATTATCCCTAAATATTGTTGAATTGCTTCATTAATCTTTTGGTTTTTCAATAATTCCCCAAAAACATTTGATATATTTAGTTTACACATTTGAAACTAAACCACAGTGCTGATGTTTTAAATTGTTACACTTCATCTAGTAATACATCAAAAATCAGTAATATCAACATGTTTAATAAAAAATACTGACTAAAGAAACTTTTTATTCATCATTCAGCATTAGTACTGTAACTTTTTCCCTTTATTTTTTTTATTCTACAGTTTCTTTGAATAAGTTGTTTTGAACAAATTTGATCTAGCTTATAAATATATGTAGAACCTGTTAATTATTAGATAATTAGTACAAAGGTGAAACATTTAGAATTGATGTGTTGGCTGGCCAAGAAAGATTGAATAAGTCTTCAGTAGTTCATTTTAAAAAAAAAAAAAAATGCAGATACACTATATATATATATATATATATAATATATATATATATATATATATATAGCAACCTTTCTTTTAAACATCTTTCATTAAATATGACAGACAAGGAAAATTTTAATTTTTTTTATTTAGTTTTTCCATTTGGTGGGAGGCAATGGCTTGGAATTAATGTCCCTACAAATAATATATCATACAGTCAGAGACTGAAAAGAAACTATAAACACCAAAACACACACTCTTGAAAATAGCTAAAGTAGTGGCCGAAAGTGCTTGGGACAATGGATGATATGGACAGTTTTTCTACTCACGCCAAATTGAAAATGTAAGAACAATGGAAAAACTGAATTAAAAAAAAAATAAAATTTCCTTGTCAGTCATATTTAATGAAAGATGTTTAAAAGAAAGGTTGCTGCCCAAATATACATCAATATATATATATATATATATATATATATATGGTTGGATTGATGTGAGTTTGTGACCCTGGGTTTTACGCTTTTGCAATCGTCAGACAAATTTATATTTATATACACACACTTTTCACATATATGATCTCTCAAATGTGAACTGCTAGTTATTTTTTCCAATTCATGTATACATGCAATGACTTTCAAGAGTTCATAAAAATTACATTCTAATCAACAAAATTTTGAGATAAAATAAATTGAGGCCAGTATTTAATGATTTTTGTAAGTGGATCCAAAGACTTAAAATGTTGTAAAAGGAATGTTTGAAATATCTCTATAATTTCTAAGCATTCAAACTCAAACTCGATAACAGTTGAACTCTTTTTGTATTAATCAATTTTAGTGGATGCTTTTTGTTTCTTATAAGCCTTTGAAATATATCCATTCTTTCTTGAATATTTTGTTACATTAATTAAGGGAGAATTGAATTCCTCTTATTATGGTTATATCTTTTCTCTCCAAGAAACAATTGTAGACCTGTTTGCTATGTAAGTACTAGTTATTTTGTTCATTGAAGCTCATCAAAAAAGAAAGTCATTTATGCTTATGGTGATTTATTCAATGCCTATTCTCACTTTAGTTCATAGGAATCTAAACAGAATTTTATCTTAGCTCAAGGTTGCGATTTTTTTCTTGTGTTGGTTAATGTTAATGTCTCTTTCTATTATCTCTTACTAATCAAATACAAAATTTCAGATCAAGCCCGGCTTGGTGTGTGGATCTTAGATGGGGATACACAGCATACAAACTTACTGAAATATGCACTCACAGAGGAGAACTTTGCTCACACCCTTGTACTTTTGGTTGTATCCATGGCACAGCCTTGGAATATTATGGACTCTTTACAAAAATGGATTACAGTACTCAGACAGCATATTGAGAAGTTAAAGATTCCTAAAGAGACATTACGAGAATATGAACAAAGCTGTAAGTATTTTTCTTTCTTCTATTTCCTTCTTCCTTTTCTGCACTTTAATATTTCCTGTATCATCAGTGATGATTAAGCACTAGTTTCTGATGAAATGAAAATTGCAAATGACTTTTAAAAAAGAATAGTTAACCAGCTGAAATGAGTGGTTTAAGAACTTTAGTTTCAAGACAAATGAATCTTAAGTGTTTGTAATTTATAAGCATACATAAGATCATTACCTAGAGTTAATTGACCTTAGCTTTTATACATGTACTAAGCTTTCCTTAATGTGGTACAATACCAAATATGGAGAAGGAAAATGAGAAAATTGTGTTACATAAACATAACTACTATCACTGGTTCCTGTTGAAAATATACCTTTTTTAATCAGTTCACTCAAAGCAAGTTGGTAATGCCACAGCAATGCAAGTGGCTACTGGGAGTAAAAGAGAAGACTTTGGATTTTAGAAGGAACCAGAAACCTAATCTTAAATAGAAAACAAGATTCCTGTTTGAAAGACTGGAAAAGAGTGTGAACTAGTTGATACATACCTCTCTGGTCTTTTAGCTATCTTAACCAAAAAAGCCGACCCACATTGGTCACTTTTTTTTTTTCTTTTTTTTTTTTTTAACCTTTAATGGTAATATTAAGATAAGTTTATTTCTAAATTCAATATACAAGGAAGTTCTGAAAATTTTTTGGATGAATTTTTTCTGACCAAATGACCAAACATTAGAATTTTTTTTTTTTTTTTTAGTCAGGCCAAGAACTTTTCAGAACCCTATTGTATGTATGCTGTTACTGACATAAATCTTTTCAAAATGATTATACACTGACAGAAAATAAAATTGTAATGTTCTGAAAGATGATTCTTATTTTTGCTGGAATACAGTATATGCGCATTTAGAGGATGGATATTCTGGTAAAGCTTTTAAAGTCTTTGGTCATCTAATTTAGTAACACTCATACCAGTACACTATCTCTGAACTTTTAACACTGACACATACTGTAATAAGGTTCAGTGTATTGAAAGATTCCAGTGCAAGCAGTTACCACACATATTCCATTGAGCTAATTAGACCCATTTGAAAAGGGGTCAGATTTTGAACCTTCAAGATTCTGGATAGTTATTTCTGATAATTGCTTTTCATGTTGGATGTGATGTGTTGGTAATGCTATTGACCACAGAAATCAAAGAAATATTCTCACATTTTCAGACTAGCTTTGAATGGTTGCATGTTACACTTGGCAAGATATCTGCATAGTAAGTGTAGCAATGGCAGATCGCACAGTTCAGAGCAAATATGGCTTCTGTATTGTCAGTATAGACTATTGGAATTCTTTCATTGCAGCAGTACTGCTGGTATATGTTCCTCTAACTAGGCTTTCCACTTGCACCACAACATTGTCATGTACATCTACAAGGGTATCATTTGGAAGGTGAGAACAGGTTCTGCCTTCATGCAAGTGGTGATCACTTGTGTGTATATGTAACATACACCTAGAGACTAATATCTTTCAGAATTTACTTTTCACAACATAGGCCTAATCCCTGGCATCATGAGTGGACTGCTAAACTCTCTCACTTTTGGTGTTTGTAGGTTAACTAATGAACAGTTCTAGGTATTTCCAAATCATTGTTAAACTCCTTGCTATTCCTGTAACTGGATGACAATATACTCTTTCTGTAGGATAATGCCTACCCACTTGATGCCAGTGTGATCCCCAAACTTGTCCTCATTCAATGTGTATGGGTTAACACCTGACTTGTTCAATTAGTCTACTTACACTCTTTCTGTATGGCATTAACAGATGGCAAATGTATAGAATGATATATCACATGATGCGATATAACATGAAAAAGAATAGGCTGGTGTTATTGCTGAAGGAGTATATACAGTGATACAGTGTATTATGTTGTTTAAATAGTGTTGATACCTCTTTAGGACTTGCACACACGTACACACACGCCAACATTATTATGGTGGGTGCTCTATTTTGCAATAATAAAAATATTGGATTAAAAATACATTATTCTTAAAAAGTGTGTGTGTGTGTGTGTGTATATATATATATATATATATATATATATATATATATATATATATATATATAATATTGCCACAAAAAAACTTTAACAGATGATAAAGATAAAAATTAATGCATGTTCAATGCATGCTACAATAATCTATAATTGTATGAAGAGAATATTTCAACAACTTACCTGCAAGTGTTCTTTTGCAAGCAAGTCATCAAAATGATTTCTTTTAATACTATGCCTTTTACATATATTTAATTTTTTTTTTATTTGAGTAACAATCCCTCTTTAATACATTTCATTAAAAGTAATTGATATGCTACTTCTGTTACTTTTTTTATTTTTTTCCCAAGCACTTTCAGCTAATCTATTAGCTATTTCAAGGATTTTGATTGTGCTTTCAAAAATGGTGTGCAAATTGTTGAAAGGTTGACATCTTTTTTAATTCTTGAATATGGCCAGTACATCATGGCCTTGTTTGTAGTTGTTTTTAGGTTTTTGTTTTTTTTTTTTTATTATTATTATTAGAACTTGTTATTTTTAGATATTTCTTTTATAATAGTGGTATGTATTATATTTGTTTTCAACAATGGTGTTGTGTATCAAAGTTGCTAAATTTTCATGGTCATTTAAATTGATCCTTATGGATCTATGATCCAAGAAACAAAAGGTCAGCTATCTTGATAAGAGAGTGGTGGTTTTTCTGATATGATTATTCATGGATTTGTTTTTGTCAAGAACACAGTTTCCCTATGTGGCGTTGGAAAATGACTAATAGATAAACTGAAAGTATTCAAAATGAACACCCCTTGAACAATTTCTGCACATGCTAAGTTAAAAAAAAATTAAAAGTACTTTGTCATTTCATTAAAAAACCTATAATCCTTACTGTAATCTTACTATATTATAGGTGTCTCTACTATTTCGGCATAAATTTTCTATATTTAAGTTTAAAACTAATTTTTTACAACAAAAAAACATTCTTGAAGATTTTATTTTAGCTTTAAAAAAAAGTTTAATCATTAAATTTATGATTTCCATAAATTAAACAATCTGGTGTATTTCAGATAGAAACTATATACATTTGATTGTCAAATATAAATTCAAATTTTTAAATTTTCTTAAAATCGGCCATTTTCTTAATTTTAAGAAATTTGTAAACAAACACAAATTTATCGATTTTTGAAAGTATTTAAAAAAAATTTCTGACACGTTTATTTTAGTAAAATTAAAAAATTTAAAGTTAAACTAATCTGATTTGAAAAATCTTTCTTACTTATAGCATAAAAAAATAATATACAACCAATTATTAACAAGCGGTCCTGTTCATCTGATCGAACTATTGATGGATTGTTGAATGACGAACCGATGACAGCTACTACTGATGACCATAAATGACATAATTTTTAAGTATGAGTTTTTAAAAAAATGATTCTATTTGAGTATGACACACACTAATGGAAATACAATACATAAAATAAAATTATTTAGTGAAATAGTAAATGAAAAAAAGGAAAATTACTTTAAAATTTAAAGTTTACACTTTTAAAGCTGAACGGAAAATACAACCTGTAAGAAACGAAATGTTATGAAAAGGCCACGTAAAGGGACAAAACCCTTAGATCATGTGACCTTGTTATAATAATGGCAATTTCTGTATATCATACATGGAAATAAGGAATGTATTAAGTAAAAAAAATACAACATAAAAAATTTTTAGAAAAAGTAGCGCAACTAAATTTATTAAACTTAGCAATTTTGGACTCGTAAATTTTTTTTCCACTTAATTACTACATCACCTCGAGGAACCCTCCTAATACAGAGTTTTACACGATTTTAAACTATTATAAATTATTATAATTAAAATTTCTAAAAAAACGAAAAAAATTCTTGTAAAAATTAATTATTCATCAGAAAAAATTTTCTTCAGACAATAATGTCCTTAATATTACTTATTTACAAAAGCAATTAAAAGCTTTTCTAATTAAGTAATATCATAGTTTTATTGGATTCATTATTTTTCAATTCAGAGCAGATTTTCAGTTAGATAGCTCAAATTTGAAAAAAAAAAAGTAGGTTATTTACCATCTTCGAAGACTCCTACTTTTAACAAAAAAAAAAAAAATTCAGGAACCAAAAGATTTTGGGCGAAATTTCATTAAATTAAGTAAATGTGGGGCAACATATTTTAAAAAAATATATTTTTTACCAAAATTTTCTAAAAAAAAAAAAAAATATTTCAAAAATAATTTCATTGATTTGTGAATAAGTCCTGAAAATTTCATTAAAATCGGACAATTACTTGATTTTTACAAGAATTTCCAAATCAATATGTTTTCAATGGAAAAAAATCGCAAAAAAAAAGTGTTATTTTCTGTGATGCCGCGATGACGTAAACAAAAGGAGACTTTAACCAAAATTTCGAACGTGTTAGAAAGGATTAAAAAATTTCAAAAATTAATTAAAAAATACTTTGGTCTTTCATCTTAATAATAACATAAGCATTTTGACGATAAAACTTTATTTTAGTTAAGTTAGTGGCATTTTTCATTTACGCTATGCTGTTTTCCCGCGAAAACAGTGAACATGCTTACTATATTACCTGTAGATTGAATAAACTGAAATGTGTATTCAAGATGCTGCAAATTTATTTCCTGTCCTTTTTAGAATGAAAAATTGTTGGTTAATATTTGAAAATATCTTTATATCAAGTTTGTTAGTTTTAATAAGACTAAATAAAATTTAGATTGTTCTTTCTGGTTGGTAAACTTGCTAAATAGCAAAGGAAATTATACTGACTCGCATTATTTTGACTGAGCTACTTAAGTCATATATCTATTTTTGTAGAAAAAAAATAGTTTGTAGAATTGTAGAAAATGGTTTCAAAGCTTTATAGGAGGAGTCTTTTATGTGCCATACTCCTTCAGAATATGGGTAATCATGGCTTTCCACAACTTAATCTCATTAGATATGTTACT